GGTGTGTGAGCTGTAATGAATTAGTCGACACGAGAACTAGATAATTACTGTCTGCGTTGTAAACAATTGCTTTTTTTTTCCATAAAAGCATCGAAATAAACTAGAATATTTTACGTTGAATGACATATCGAATGCGTCTCTGGGTATAAATTTATTTTATCTAATTGAACAGTCAACTAAATCACCAACAGCATTCATCTAATTAATTAAAATATTGCACGTGTTAGTTTCAAAGATAAAAATTTCAATTTCAATAACGACTTTTTCTTTTCATCGCGCTTAGAGCTCCGTTTTCCTTTCTTTTTTGCTATGTATACATCTATATATATATATATTTATATAAATTTCGCATGAACTATTCTGTATCTATGTGTATTCATATGTAAATTTAAGTACGTTCGATTAATCGATCGAATCGGAACGAATGACAATTACAATTCCCTAGTTAGAGCTTAAGTACTCAGCAATAATTAATAAATACATTTAGTAGGCGTTTATTCTCAATAAAACTCTCGCGACTTCGATATGCATTTGACTTTCATGATTCACCTTTCTGAACATTATATCAATTTATTGTTTTGTCTACCATACTAGAGTTGATTATCAATATAGTAATTCTAAAAGGTTTGACGACGTGTTCAAAAAGACATTACTGCTGCTGCTCTTGCTGCTGTAATATATATATATAATAAATTTCCTATATGCGGGCTTTTTTCTTTCTATCTCGCTATATATATATAATTTTTTTTTTTAATCATATATTCATTTGATGTGTATATGAATGTAATCTACAAGTCGAGTAATAAAAATAGAATCGCATAGATTGAGACTCGCACAGCGCATGCACCTATATGTATAATATTATTAAAGTGAAAGGGGGAAGAGATGCCAGGCTCGTTTACTTTGTCCATCTTTTTTTTTAATTTTTTTTTCTTTCTCTCGTCAATTCCTCCAAAAAGTCGCGGCGCGTCACGTTTTGCATCATGAATATATTATTATTTAAAATTTTCTTTTCTTCTTTATACTTTTAAATGCTCGTAGTACGACCTCTTAGTTGTTTTGTATATTTAATTTAATTTAATAATTTTTTTTTTACTCATAATCATGCACATTCACAATAAAATCTATTTAATCTATTTATATCTATATATGTATTATGCGTACCCACGTACGCGTTAACAAGATTAGACGGAGCGCATACAGTGCACAACAGGACGCGCGTTTTTTTTTTGTGCATGTACATACATATATATGTATGTTGTACCGGACGCTGCATCGTTTCTCTCCCGAAGTGTGTGTGTGTGTGGTGTGTATAACGTGATTGATTTTTTAACACGCGAGAAAAACGCGCGAATGAAATTTAGTGGGTGTACGTGTGTGTATGTCTCACTTGACAAATAGAAAAACGCATCGATCCAAGCTGCAATTCCGTGCAATTTTTCTGCTGTGGTGACAGCACACCTTAGCGTACCTTAATTTCGCAAAGAAAGCAGTCCCAAAACACACCAACCACAACCTCGTTGGTTCCACCAACTAACATCCATCTCAAAAAAGTACTTGTATGAGCCACGCACGAGTTGCGCCCAAGATTTTCCTTGACGATTTCGCAATACCCATTTTCCATGCGTCGTTATAAAAAAAAGGGAAAGAAAGAAAAAAAAAAAAAAATTCCGTGTCATAGCGTTGTCTTTGTCGCGCTTGCTTTTCTTCAGCGTCTCAATGCAGTACACGTAGTACACAATACACAAGTACGCGCGCGCGTGTCCCTTCGAGATTCCAAGCCTTTGCTGGCGTGGCTCACTTGTCACCTCGAGCCCGTCCCGGACGAGGACGACGATGAGAAAAGCCGAGAGGGATCCCTTGGCTGTCGGTGCTCCTCTGTGTTTGCGATAATCGCAACTGATTATCAACGCACTGGAAAACGTGATCCTGGCAATGACCGAGCGCCTTTTGCCTGCGCAAAAGACAAAAAGTGTGAGATTTGTTGGAAGCGCGTGATTGTGATGGAGCGACAACCCACCTCCGTTCACTGCAGGTCCTCCTCGCACTTGGGAATGTCGAAGATCTCGGCGAAAAGCGGGGGTAGCTTCAACTTGGTCCAGTTCTTGCGGAACCAGTCGAGCAGGTCCGCGTGCCTGGCCCCGAGGCTCTTCAGCTCGGGTATCCTCAAGGCGAGGCCGTTGATCGGGTCGTTGTTGCACGGGCCCCCGTTACCCGCCGCCACAGCTTGAACGCGCAGTGCCTCGAGCAGCCGGTCCTGCAGCCTCTGGATCGCCTTGACGTCGTTCAGGCCCGGGCGCTCGTTCAGCAGCACCGCACCCGAGAACAGCCCCAACTCTGCGTCCGTCAACTGATGGCTGTTCAACGCCGACGTGAACTGCAGCATCGACGACACGAAATCCGGCTGTCGCACACGGATAGAATAAACACATATATACACAAGAGCCCATGTAATCATCACATAATATGCATCACACAATGTATGCAGTGTATTATATACTTACGTCGTACATGAGGTCGAGCTGCTGCCTGGTTATGTAGGTGCCGTCCTCGAAGGTCATGGACGCGTCGGAGGTCATCTTGGAGATGTGGCTGAGCCAGACCTCGAAGAAGCCGACCTTGATGAGTATGAGCTGGTCGTCCTGGGACAGCTCGCAGAAGCCGGGTACGCGCTTCGCGAACTCGACGACCCTCTGGACGGAGGGCGTCACCCGGGCGGCGAACTGCTGCCACAGCCAGATCTTGTGCGCCTCGGTCGTCTCCGCGGTCGAGGAGGCTGCTTCCGGGTCCTCGGGACTCGCGGGCTGTTTTTTTTTCATTTTATATACAATTTTACTTTCTTTTTTTTTCCCTCCCCCTTTTTTTAACTTCCACGCAATCAAAAAAAAAAAAAATAAATAAATAAATGAATGACCGACCGGTATGATCATGGGTTTGCGCACGATGCCCCGCGTCGATTCCTCGGTGAAGCCGCAGTGGGCGTGATGAGCCTGCGACACCTGGAGTATCACGTCGTACACGGCGAGCTGTTTGACGTCAGCGTCCGACTGGTCCGCCTCGACCACCGTCGCAGCCTGCCCCACCCGGCTCCCCTGCATCATCGGGCAGCTGTTTTGGCTCTGCGGGCTGTTTATGCACCCGCTCCCGTTGCCGTTTATGCTGTTGTTGTTGTTGTTGCTCACATTGTTGTTGTTGTTGTTGTTGTTGTTGCTCACATTGTTGTTGTTGGTACTGTTGTTATTGTTGTTGTTGTTCGGGGTATTGGCGTTGTTGTTGTTGTTGTTGTTATTGTTGTTGCTGCTGCCGTTGGTGTTGGCGACGGCGAGCTGGGGCACGACGCCGTTGGTGGTGCCGGTCGGCGTGGGCGGGCCGCCGCTCGTCGTGGTCGTGGGCGTCGCGTCGTCGGGGCCCCGTTCGCGGGAGCGCTTTGGCACTCGGCCGTATCGAACCGCTGAAAAATTCACACACCTCGTTGGCCCTTTTGCAAAATCGCACGCAATATAAATATACGCTTCGCTGTGATGAGAGAAACGAGGTAGCGCAGGCCCGACGCGACCCCAGCTTTGGAAGGGAGAGCGGGAGACGAGCAAGTTAATGATTCGCCAAATTAGAGCTCGGGGAGGGAAGGGCAAACAACGAGAGACTCTTGTTCCTTTATTATAGTAAAAAAGACGGCGAGCAAGGAAGGGAAAGTGTAGGGCCTCGGAGCTCGGGAAATCTCGCGTTGGCGCAAAAGCTCGGGGGGAAATAAAGAAAAAAAAAGGAGATAATCCGGCCTTGTGCTTTTCCCCGGGGAATCGAGAGCTGGCAGCTGTATCGGTGGTTGTTTCTTTTTTTGCGCAAACTGTGCAGGAAAAAAAAACAAAAGCGAGAGAAGCTCTCCGATGCGCTCGATTGGCGAGGAAGCAAAAGTGCTCGTATGGAATAATACTCCTTTCCGGATAATTAATTTCTTCCTGACGCGAAAACTTTATTCTCGACCGCAAATCGCAAAAATCCCATCCGAGGGCTGCGCGAAAGAGAAAGAAAACAGCTTCGAAAGACAAAGCTGAATAATACAGCGAGAGATTTCCTCCCCGAGGTGTATGGAAGCACACGTGTATGTACTCTTTTGACATGTTTAATTACGCGCGCAACTTCGAAGCATCGAGCTGTACGAGGAGTAAAATTATATATACTTCAAGGTACGGGGCAAAGCTCAAAGTTAAATGGTTGTTGTAACAACGATGATGGGGGTAAATTAAGTGGAACTCGTGCGTTGCCTACGGCCTTTTCCGATGGAGCGCGGGTGTCGGGTAAAAAGACAACTCGTCTCATCCACGCGAGCAATTTTGTAATTTTGACTGACTCTTGATGCTAGAGGAGAATACCTGGCGTGACGTGGTACAAGTGGCGAGCTTTTGAAGTTTGAAGTGAACGACCGCGTCAAAACGAGTCTCAGTGGGGAATGTAACGGTGGTGGTACCTAGCCGGCTCTGCTTTGAACTCGCAAAGTAGAAAAAAAAAGAAAAAAAAAAACTTGAAGGGGATGGGGATCGTCGGAGGTGTGAAATTAATTTTCCGCCAGTGATGATGATGATGAATGCAGCGCGTGCATGTCTAGGGTGTATACGTACAATCTCTGGACATGCCGACGGCCAGGCACTTCTTGAATCTGCAGTACTGGCAGCGGTTCCGGTTCAATCTTATCACCATGCACTTGCCGTCTCTCAAGCACCTGTACTCGATTTGCTTTTGTATGCTCCGCCTGAAAAAGCCCTGCAACAGAACGAACGACGGATCGTACTTTTAGTCTTCAGCACATAAGTAGTCGTCTTTTCTTCTGCATGTATACTTACAACAAAAAGTATAATGTTGCAATTGAGTTTTCGATCAAATTTTTAGCTTTTTTTTTTTTTTTTTTTTATCTTCGTTTTTTTATAGGAGGTTTTGGGGCGAGACTCGGGAGCTGTTTAAATCTCGTCACAAACCACGTAAATGTTGTTTGATATTATTTCAACTTGACTTACTTATTTACATTGTCTTGATCTATCAATGTGAGGCTTTCATACTTTTGATTTTTTTTTTTTTTTTTTTTTCTATTCCTAAATTTTTTGTTTACATAAATAGCGCCAAAGTCGCCAGTAAAAAACGTTAAAATGNTAACTTAAATTTTACTTGTTCTTAAAATAACCAAGTTGAATAAGAACATTGAAACGGTCGTTATTACGAAGTAACTCAAGACTTTTACGTCAACGTATTATTTAAAAAATTATGGGATTTAGCTTTCGGCTGATAGATTTGTTGAGTTGCACTGTTTTTCAATAATCTTCAAAGGGTTTCGTCGTGTGAATTAAAACAACGAGTGCCATTTGTACGATATTACGATGAAATCATAATCAAATTCGTGGGTAAACAAAATACATCCATACGCCTTAACACCGTCCATTGGGGAGAGCTCAAGTAAATTGTACATGGATATGAGTTACTTTACGAAATTTACGCGTGTGAAAATCGATAACCGAACGGAATCGGTCTCTGCATACCTACCGATTGGATCGATTTATCTTTCCTTCGAACGGAAATGAATTTTTCATCTGCCCAACATGTGCCGCGGTACTAAGCCACCAAACATTATTTTCAAAGATAAGACTCGTAAAAATGTATTTCCCCGAGCACGCGCACACGTATTACATACCTACGATGGATATGCACACTCGAGCCATTCACTTGATCCCCATTCGAAAGCTTTTATTTTAAATTCACTTACGACTGAAGTACCAGCCAACTTCGGCGTGTTGTATGCATACGGCGAAGTTATGGAAAATTTAACGTACGAAACTGGCGTGCGATTCATATTCCGAGCGCGTGGGAAAAAAAAAAAAAAAAAAAAAAACAAAACTTAAATCGCTTGGGCAGGGAGGGATGGTGGGAAAAGAAGGGGAAGGGACGAGAGATCGAGTGGCCGTACCTTAGAAAAAAAAAAAAAAAAAAAATCACACAACGGAGTATCCACGGTGCAGAGAGGAGCCCGAATAGCTCGTGCGCACGCACGAGCCGAAAAAATTCGCGAAAGGTTCGTGCATAAAAGCTCGGGGAGGGTAAGTCGTTTCGCCGAAAATTCCCTCTTGGAAAATCCTCCGCAGTGAATTCCCGACCCCCCTCCGATATCGCGGAAACGTGACGCTGGCGGCCGAACAGAAGACGAGTAGAAAAAAAAATAAATGAACGGAATCTCCCCTTGTGTTTGCAATATTAATGTCGCTATTATTTTTCTTTAATTTTTTTTTTTCCATCTATAGATGGCATTAAAATAATTGTAAATGTAGAACAAAACATCGAAACTCCTTTGAATGGATTAACGAGGTAACGTGGCGTCTTTGTCGTCGGACGAGCTCAAAGAAAGGAGGAAAGGGCCCGAAGGGTGCTGCATTATTCAATTTCATACCCCCCTCCGGAGCCTGTGAGCGCAACTGGGTCACGCTCCGAGCCCGCCTCGAGAAATAGTTTATCTCTCCCCCCCCGCCTCTAGCCGTTCTTTAAATTTATATATAGAGCGTACCGCTCGCTCGATTTCGCATTCAGTTACCTCGCCCATTTTTTTTTCCTCCCTCGGCGGTGATCACTAAATCCCAAACGCCGACGTGCCTACGCCGCACGTGCCGATGGCGCTGGGGATAAGACCGATGTGCCCGAGGTATGATACATTATGCACGACGACAAGAAACGAGCGCCCTGCGCTTTTGGGCATCTGCGGCCACGGTGCGTTACTTAAGCGAATAGTGTTTTGTCACCGTACCGAGTGGGACAAAATGATGGCCAAGCGTGTGCGTAAGTAGGTACAAATAAATGAGTAAAGGCTCGGCTGTCCGACCGTACTCGGCATCGATCTACTTACGTATAGTTTCCTCATTGAATCGGGGTGCGCTCCACTACTTACATGAATGTAATATCCTTTTATTTTGGTACTCTGGTTTACAAATGTCCTTTACAGTGCGGAGCAACGAGTGGAAACAAGAGAGAAAAAAAAGCAAATTAAAGTTTTTGCAACGAAAGTGCCCATATTGCATTTAAGGTTTTCAAACACAATTAGCCGAATGGAAAATGCGTGAGTGTAGTTTTTCGAAAGGAGCGCTCTCGAGAAGTTTGCGCCGGTACACTCCGACTACGCGAGCGAGAGAAGTTTGAGAAAAATTTGGTCATCGCGAAAGTACCAGGACTCGCAATTGAAAAATCACGCCCAAAAGGTATCCTGTCGATCTGTACATACCGACTTGGTTCGAATAAAAAAGGATGCCCTTTGCGCGTAAAATGGAGCACAAAGGAGAAGGACTTGTACATCAGGGGCGGTTAATTAATGTTTTATTAAGTGCACTTTGTGTGCAGAAACGAGCGAAAAAAGATTGCCCGTGGCGTTGAAAAAATTGAGATAGCAGGTACTGCGAGGAGGAAAAAGATAAAGGATTTTTATTAATTTGCTCGCAGCGCTTCCGTATTGTATGCTTGCGCATCGCGAGCACAAAAATATATAGAAGGATCTGGAAGAGAGAAGGGAAAATTACAGGTGTATACCTATACACACGCTGGTTTATTAAAGGGAAAGGGAGGGTCGATTCGCCCGTACGTACTCTTGTCGAAAACGCTCGTTGCGAGTGGTGGTAATCACCCCCGGAAATGGAACTACTACGACGACGACGACGACGAGGCGGAAGCGATTCTCTCTCTCTCTTCCCGCGTGTGTACCGAGGGAACCTTCCTCCCTGCAGCTGCTGCATATTGTACACACGGGCGTTCTCCTGAAAATTAATTACGTCGAGCTCGCTTCCTCGTTGCTTCTGAGATAAGCTCGAGGAGCTTGCGAGGCGAGGGAAGTACTTCAAGGTAGATAAATATAAACGCAAATGCGGAACGAGAGGTAATCGAGGGGAGGGTTTTTCATCATCTGCTGTTGGGTGTTTATCTAGGAAAAACTGTTTTTTTTTTTCTTGTTTTTTTTTTGTTAAGAAAAAAATGTTTTTCTTTTTTTTGATACTTTTACTCTCAAAAAAGAGAACTTGGAGGACGCTCTTTGAGCTCGATGCGGGCGTGTTTGATGGAGAGTGAAATTAAAATTATTTTACCCGTCAAAGTAATTTCACTCTTCGAAAAACTCAAGAGCACATCGATGGTATTTTCCAGCTGAAAAGAGCATAGTAGCACAGAAAAAAAAAATTCACATTACGCGGGGGCACAGAGAGCAAGCTCTTTCGCGAGAAATAACATGTAAATTTTTTTAAGTGCTCATTAAGTTTTCACAGAGAAATAGAAGGAGAAGAGGTAGACGAGAGAAAAAGAGATATTTTCCTCCCTGGCAGCGGCTTGTGGTTTCATTAAAACCTTGTGTATCTTGCGCGGCAGTTTTCCAAGGGCTCACCACCTTGTGATTCAATTTATCATGTATACCTTACGGTTCGCGCACGTATTTTTTTTTCCACCCTTGTTTTTAGAGTCCGGTCGACTAATGGCCCATTGGGGCGACACGAGTTGTCCCAATGACCTTTGGAAAATATCTGCATGCGTTGCTTTACAAATAAAACAATACGGACATCCACCCCTTCCATCTCAATATTTTCCGTTTCCGCCCGCACAGCGGTAAAAGTGCAACAACAGCGGCCCAATATACCCCGCGCCGAGCGCAATAAGCCGCGGTGAGTTGTAAAAATTCCCCGGGTCAAGACCGGATTAGAGTCGCTGATACGCGTTTCGTTCGCTCGGCTGTATCCAACTCCTCCGGAGACTCGGCGCTAATTGAGAAAAAAAACGTGCAATCGTCGAGTAAGGCTTTGGAGGGAGGATCGAAACTCGAGCGCTCTACTTTTTAATCCCGCTCACGTGTGCATGTGGAAGAAAAAAAAAAAAAAGAAAAAAAAGGAACCGCGCCAACTTTGCTCGTCCGTCAAGTCCCCGCAAAAGTTGCCGCTTCCAGTTGACCCCCATCCGGGAGTCCTGCCGCGTCCCGTACGTCTTCTTTTCCACGGACGACCGGGAAATACTTTTGTTTCTCTCTGCTCCCACGTCGTCTCGCTTAGCCGGTTTTTTTCTCTGCTACTTTCGGATTTCCGCGAAACTCTTTCTTTACTCTGCGATTTTTCAACACCCACAGCTCGCCAAGTTTCCCTCCTGACCCCCGTTTTCATTTTCATTTTTCGGGTAACCCGCGTCGACATTTAAGGCTCGGCAAACACTCGACGTCGCGGTGTTTTTTCTCCCTTGGTGTACAACCCTTTGCGCGAGAGTCCACAAATGGATCCCCAAAGGCAGCCGAGCGTTGGGCAACTTTGGGGAGTCGGGAAATTAGGGCACGACGACTCGAGTGGCTTTCCAGCGCTTTACTAGCCGATCGATAACTCGCCTCGGCAATTCATCCGATTCGAGAGGGGAAACAGAGCACTTCGGCCGGGGTGGGAAAATTCGCCAATACGAGGCTCCCCGTTTAATTTTTCCACCCGGAGTTTTTGCACTCGAGCCGGAACGTTTGTCGAAAACGCGCTGAAGCGTTTTCCGTGTCAAGCCGGTACTTGAAAAAATGCAGTAGCTTTGCTACAAAAAGAAAGGAAAAAAAAAAAAAAAAAAAGAAAAAAAAACGCCGATCGATTTTAAACACGCTCTCACTCGCGCTTCGTTCAACAAAAAGAAAGAGTGCAGTATTAAACACTCGCCCTGCTGCAGAGTCGTAAATCTGGCTCATCGCCATCGGCGAAGGGACACCAAGATAGCATTGAGAAAACGGGGAGGGAGAA